TTGGTGGTGGGGAGAGGTGCACAAGAGGAAGACCAGAGTCCTAAAAACACAAGCTTCTAGGCCTTCTTATTTATTTTTAGCTATTTGGAAATTGTGTAAATTGTCAAGTTGACTCAGGTTTGTTTCATTAGAGCACATTGCTGTTAAATTAAATGACATAATAGAAAGGCTTTCTCCTTGTTATGTTTTAAAATTATAATCTCCATAAAAAGGAACTTTTTAAAAAAGAATTTCCAGGAAAAGGTATTAATACAGTAATCTTGTGTAGACCATTTAAGGGGATGGTTCTCAAATGATGGTTTAAGAATCATCTGTGGAATGACTTAGGCATCTAAGAAAACACAGGGAGGGTAGGATTATAAATTGAAAGACATCAAGCCTTGTAAAGGACAATGCAAGTTGTAGAAGTTTTGTATGCTGGCTAAACTTTATGGGCCAACTGGACTAGGCTATGGTGGCCATTTGTTTAGTCAAATATTAGTTGAGATGTTCTTGTAAAGGTATTTTTCAGATGTGATTAACATCAACCACCAGCTTAAGTAAAGGAGATTAGACTTGATGATGTACATAGGCCTCAACCAATCAGTCAAAGGTCTTAAAAGCAAAATTCTACCCAGTGTAGACTTGTATCTCAAGCCTGCAACACAGAAAACTGGTGCGAGTTTCAAGACTGTTGGTCTGCCTCTGTGGACATCAGACTCACTAGCTCCACAACTGTGTAAGCCAATTCTGTAAAGTCTTTCTGTTTCCCTAGCTTCTCTTAGCTCTATTTCCTTGGAGAACCCTTATTCATTGATATAGTTTGTAAGTGCCATTTTTAGAAAGAAAGGATTTTGTTTCTATCATGGTGAGTACTTTGTTTTTGGAAGAAAGTGATAGGTAATGCATAAAAAAATAGACATTAACAAGTAAAATCAGCTATAGTTGACAGTAGATGGAAATTCAAAATCATCTCTCTAATGAGTTGCACTTAGGAAGTAAGAGTAAATTTTGGCAATATCCTTTCAAAAGATCTCTGCTTCTCATAAAAATGGAACAAATGCAGCCATAAATAGTCTTATAAATAAAGTCTAAAAACTTGTATTAGAATGATGATATATTTGGGTCAGAGATTCTTGATATAAAAAAATGGAAGTTCAGAGTTTTCTGGAAAATATATCCAGGAGAATCATGAAGACACTACTTCAACCCATCTTGTAATATTTATTGAATACTTAGTGACAAAAAAATACCTGGTTCTACTTGGTCAGGTACAAAAATGCTTGACTAAAATGGGCTTGTTTTAATGGTTAATGAATAACTTGCAAACATAGTTTCTCAAGAAGGAGCAGAATTTTCCAAGATTAATTTTACAGAGCAATAAGTCTGGGTGATATTCAAAGAAAAAGGGATCAGTGGTTAAATCCAGAGAATACTAAATTGTATGCAGTCAATTGTGACCTTTCAAGAAAGATACATTATATTCTTTCCAGAACTAATTTCACCAAGGAAAACATTCTTCTAGTATGATCGTTAATCTTGCATGGCATACTGGACTTGAAGGCTAAGTCTCTGCTTTATTCTTCACTGTTTCCTTGGGCCACTCAATTGCCTTTTGGAGTTTCATTCTCTTATTTTTATCAATGATATTTACAGCTCAGAGTTGGTTTTGAAGCTTCAGGAAAGGTACTTTTGGAAGTAAAAAAGAACTTTAAGAAATCTAAAATCCTGCTTTAATATGTAGTGCATAGTTGCCTTTTTTTCTTGGTAGTATCTGAAGAACTTTCTATTTGAGGTCAATTTCCCATTTTGGAATCTTCTATAGAAGCTGCAAGGGGAGAGACATTTTAATCCCCGGTTACCAGCAACTGAAGTCTTGGTATTTGATCTTGAGTTAATTAATGAAATTTTCCCTCCTGGGACTTAGAATCTTGAGGAGTGATCAGGGATGATTTTGGTTAGTGTGACTCCATTTATATTTGCTATAAAATTTGCTTCATCTCTACCATATAACTCTATATCTATCATGAGATAAATGTAAATTGCTTCAGGCAATTAATTATAAATACAGAAGTTTTCCTCGGCTTGTATTGGTTTCAGAGAGGTATTTATTCTAAAAGTATAACCTTTTTTTCAAAACAAAATACGTTGAGTTAGCAAGTTCATTTTTCCCTGAGCAAAGAAAGCACATAGAAACAATATCCTATACAGTGTGCATATGGTAAATTGAATTAAGCTGAAATAGGGTTTTTAGAATTATGACACACTAAATTGCTCTGAATCCTTTTTAGCAAAGATAAAAAATGTTCAAACCACAGAAATTTTCATGCAAGGTAGATGTTACCGACTTAATGTAACACAACCTGCAGCTGGGAACAGGAAGGTGTTCTCAGGAAGATGGTGGTGGTGGTTCTTTAAGAAGTGAGTGATCCCAGGGTATTTATGATGGAAGTCTGGCTAACTTTTCCTTAATGATACCTATCAAGGCTGAGAAGCAATCAATGAGTGGAGCTTAGTGTGTTGGGAATTTGAAAGTGGTTACTTGATGTTGTGAATCTTCTAAAAAGACACAGCAGAGACCTGGAAAAAAGCAGGGACTGGTGAGGTTAGGGCTACCTATCCCAGAATCTTTGTGACAATCACAGGGACAGAGCTGAATATCAACATTGTAACATTATCCCAGTAACATGTATGGATTGCATTATATTTATATTTATTTTTATATATTAATTTTATAGCAAATTATCAAACATCATTGTATAAAGATATTGTAGCTGATAAAAGCAGGGATTATCCCACTGGTCTCCCCAGGAGCTCTGGTTTTGCTTAGGTTAGGCCATCAGATGTTCCCAGGGTTGTTCCAACACTAGATCTATGAGAATAATGAAAATAAATGTTAGAAAAACAGTGAATGGGCAACAATCATAATACTGCTCAGCAGATGTTTATAAGGTCAGGTTATTTTTATGTTTAAGGAGGAACCTGTCTAGCAAGACCTCATATACCCACTATGACCCACCTGATGGATCCAGAATAAAAATGTAAGAAATTCCCAAGACTTGCATTTAAGACCATCACTCTTGTTATGTCAAGATTCATTATAGCTTTTCTTTTTTTCTTTGAACTAATGATGATAATAATAACAATAATAATAACTTTTCTTTTTTTCTTTGAACTAATGATGATGATAATAATAATAATATTAATAATAATAATAACTTGGTGCTCTGAGAATGAATGGTTCCAGCCATAACAAAAAAATGCAGCAACCGTTAATACATGAGGCTCCTAGTCATGGGATTGAGATAATTTTTTTGGTAAATCCCATTTTTTTGTCAAATCCCATTCTACTTTGTAATGAGGCAAATACGTCCCCTCCATTCCTTGGTTACCAACCCCACCAAGGCACTACAGTAGAGTTCTACTGTAGTTCTATTTGCACAGTGCAAGAAATTCCATCTTTCATTGTACTCTCAGTTTATGCATTTGAAGATGAGATGGGAGACCCATCTGTGCTTTCCTCACTGGTTTCTCTCCTAGTGTAAGCACCTGGCTATGCTGAGTGTGATTCTGGTAGTGTTTTTTTTTTTTTAATTTTTTTTAATCCAATTTGAATCTGCCATCGGATGAGCCTATTCCTTTATCTGTTGGCAACCCAGGGAACACTGTCTCCAAAACTGAAGGAAAAAGATAACTGGCTTTGTGGGATTTATCAGGAGGTGATAATTCTCTCTCCAGTGAGGCATGAGAATGTGGCCACAGTCAGTCAATTTTGGGGCTTGAAGAAAGTAAGTGGTCAAGATGAGGACTCCGGTTTATGATCTTAGTTAAGAATGAAATAGCATCACACTGTTGGCTGGAAAACCTGAATTGTAGGTGTCCTTAAGGATGGGAACACCTTGAGATGAAGGCTTCAGCTCCTACAAGTTCAAATCTCAGAAGAAATATAGACTTTCATTGAGAAGAAATTCATAAGCATCCACAGTTGATCTAGCGATTTTAGAACAGCTTCCCATTGAACAATATGTGCCATTTCTGCCATGGAAGAGCTGACATGCTCTAGTAAAAGAAAACTCAGAAGAAAATGGATCTATTCTAGAGCAATTAAAAACATGAAAGAACTGCTGTATCTGGGGAAACTCGTTTGAGTTTAGAGTCACATTATCTGTAGTAGAAGCAGCAGCAGCAGCTCTGCTGGTAGTACTGTCATTTCTTAGGCATTTTATATACATCCCTTCCCCTTCATCATTACAATAATGCTGAGAGATAGATATTGTAATTTTCTTTTCATGAAAAAAGGGAACTGAGCTTTAGGGGGATGAATAACTCACAAAGATAGGTAGTTGGAGCAGGAATTCTAATATAGATTGGATAATTCCAAAAGTTTCCATGACCATCCCTGTTATACTGCCTCTTGGGATGTTAATTTTCTTTTTTACTGTTTCATATTCAAATAGCTTATATTGAAAGCCTGGATGTGATGGACTGATTTAATTTCCTTAGTCAAGGGTCTTTGCCTCCATATCATTTTGAGGAATGTTAATAAATCAGCAAAATAACAATCTTCTGTCATTGAAAAGACTCAGTTCAGTGAAGGTCTGAGATACACCAAAATGATTGTTTTCTTCATTTTTAATTTCAAAAGTAATATCTTTAAAATGAACACAATTAAATTTGGAAAGAATAATTTTGTTAATGTGCAGAATTGAGGTCACCTTCAGCTTAAGGTATGGATAATATTTTATGCCTTTAACATCTTCATCATGCATTTTTAATGGGTGATAATATAATGTCTAAAATAAACAAATGGGGATCCCTGGGTGGCGCAGCGGTTTAGCGCCTGCCTTTGGCCCAGGGCGCGATCCTGGAGACCCGGGATCGAATCCCACGTCGGGCTCCCGGTGCATGGAGCCTGCTTCTCCCTCTGCCTGTGTCTCTGCCTCTCTCTCTCTCTCTGTGACTATCATAAATAAATAAAAAAAAAAATTTAAAAAAAAAAATAAAATAAAATAAACAAATGCTAATACTTCAAATATGCTGCTTAATTTGAAAAATGCCTCTTTCCTCCTAGGAACCCTGTTGTCTTTAAGATGATGGACTCTGTCTTTAAATTCAGTCTTTAAATTTAGAATTCTTCGAAATCCCTGCAGTGATCTCTGTCTTGTCATTTTCTTAGAGGTGAGATTATAATAGATGTAGTACCAAGCTGGGGACCTGGATTCTCGGTCTACAGAAGAAAGAAATTAGTTGATATATGCATATAAGCTCCTTAAGTTTTCTATATGCTTAATGTCTCCACTGTAATATGAGTTTGAATAGATGATAGTTAGAAAAGAGACTACTCAAATTGGTCTTGAATTTTAAAAATAAAAATCTGGGTTCTTCGCTGCCTTTAAAGCTATACTTACCTAAGACCGCACACATACATCAGGACTATACAGTATTGTTCATTTCAACATCAATCTGAAATGAAAAAGTTATGTAAGTCATAAAGTGTTTTATAGACTGTTGTAGAAGGTACACAAAAATTTGAACCTTGCTTAGGGGAAAAGATTCTTGTCAAAATGTAGCTTTATATTAAACTTTTTATCAGCCATCGTTCACATTTATTTAGTTTTTTTATTTTTTTATTCAGGAAAGACAGACAGAGAGAGAGAGAGAGGCAGAGACACAGGAAGAGGAAGAAGCAGGCTCCATGCAGGGAGCCTGATGTGGGACTCGATCTCGGGTCTCCAGGATCACACCCTGGCTGAAGGCGGTGCTAAACCACTGAGCCACTGGGGCTGCCCCCACATTTATTTAATTTTATGCTATCCCTGTACTTAGAATTTGAAAATAGATAAAGAAATGACAATAGTTAATAAGTGCTAATTATTGGGTGTGCACAAAATATTGAGGGATAAAAGAGCCTGAGTGCCAGAGAAGGATTCCCTGCAGGTAGATGAGGTAAAATGAATCCTGAGACTTGATGAAAGATTTAGTTAGGTTGGAGTGAGCATTGGGCAATCTAGGATGAGTCATTACGTGTAAAAATACTTGAGGTAAGAACAAGATTAATGTACTTGAAAAATTACAAGTAGTTCAGGAGAATCAAAGCAGGAGGAACAAGAAGTAATGGTAGGTCCAACTGAAAAGGAAGTCAAGGGTTCAAATTCTTTATTACAAAACTTTAGACCCTATGGAGAGTAATTAGAGGAATATATTAACTATTTTGTGTTTTACAGAGGTGATTTTGACCTCTGCATAGAGATTAGGTTGGGTGTGAGGCATGGAAGGTGAGAGGACTAGAGAAGGGAGACCAATTGGAAAGTTGTGATTCAGGCAAGAGGTTGCCTAAACTTAAGTAACAATAATGTAGAAGTAAGTGGGGGGAGACAGAGATACAGAGATGTTTGAATTGATAGGATCTGGAATTTGGATATATATGGAAAAAGCTGAAATCAAGGATCACTTGTTATCTTAGTGGGTGAATGATTATGATATTTATTAATTTGGGAAACACAAGAGGAGGTTTTAAGGGAAGATTTTGCGTGGGTTGAATTTATATTTCTTGTGGGATAAGAGAGCCCCCTGAAGAGTTGGATAAAATGCTCAGTGTGGAAGGAAGAGATCCTGGCTAATGGAAGAGATTTGGATATTAAGGTCCTGTCCATGGCTGAGAACACTCCAGGGAAATGTAATATAATGAAAAAGAGCAAGGAAAAAAACTAGAAAAGAGAAAGGATGGCTAGAAGAAGAAGATAATATGAAATAGAATGAGAAGGGAAGAATCCTGGAAGTACAAAAGGTAGAAAATAGGGATACCAAAGTAATTGTATCGAAAGGGAAGAAATAGTTGTAGGTATCGGGTGTTTTTTCAGAGAAGGCTGCTAAGCTAATGACTGAGAAATGTTTGTTAGATTTGGGAAGAAGGAGATTGTCAGTGTAATGTTATTAGTGGCATGGTTCTGTCAGAAGTCCTGCAATGGGCTGAAGACTTAATAGATGTAAGAAATGAGAAATACTCTTATTTGAAAATACTGTTATTTGAAAAATCTTGGTTGTAAGGGGAGGAGAAAGGAAAAATAGCTAGGGAGTAGTGTCCAAAGTACCTTATTTAAGGTCAGGAGATAAGTAACTTTAAATTAGATGGAGCCAGGAAAAAGGAAATGTTGAAACAAAGGAAGAGTAGTATAACTAATGGAAGAAGATTCCAAGGAAGTGGAATAGATGGAATTCGGAGACATAAAACTGACCTGACTATTTTTTTTCTACTTTCCCAATAATTTTGGATTTCAGTCAATTAAATCTTTTGGTATCTATACTTTGCTTTTGTCATTATTAGCAAAGTTAGGGTTAAATCTATGACTGTAACCTGGATCGAGAGCAACAGACTCTTGTTGAATAAACCTATGAGTTTCCTAACATCAGGTAACCCTTGCATATTCCTTCAACCATTTGTAAAAGGAGAATTAAAAATGGTACCTAATACTTAGAATTGTTTTAGATTATCTTATAAATGTATACATATAAGGCTCCTATTCTGATTCACTTTTAGTAATGGCTTAATAAATGCTAGCTATGATGTTGAGGATCTCATAAAACCTGTTACACTAAGAAATGTGACCAACTATAGGGGATAAGCCAGTGTTCCCTGAAGTATGAGCAGAAGAAAGGGGGAGAAGGAGGGGAGAGTCTGTTTTCTTGCCCAGCTTCCTCTTGGCTATTTGCAATTGTCTCCTTTCAAGACTGTAATGATCAACTCCAGTATGTAACAATGGCTTTCTGAAAACTTTTGGAAATCATAGTTAATGCCCATTAGCACTCTGTTGGGACATTTTAGAGGAAACCTGGTAATGAATTCTCAGAGAATCAACAGGGATGAACTGACTGAATGATGGGTGAAGGGAAAAGAATAAATTCAAGACCTATTTTACAGCTGTTTCTATAGTTAATGGGCTTCTATGGAATAAAAAAAAATGAACTAGTTCTAGTTCATTGAGAATACCATGGTGAAACTAAAAGAATTACACTAATTTTTCTATTTGCTTGTCATTTGAAGATAAGGGTGAGGGATAGGGATAGATCACCACATAATGAGACTCTGGTTTAGTCTGGTTCAGAAGCATCTTTTGCCATTCTTCTAGTGACTCTGCCAAGTATATAGAATAGTAGATAGAGGTGGATCCCTGGATTTAAATGACTTGGAGTCGCTGTAATAGATGGGCATTATTTTTAAGGAAAAAATTTGTCAAGCGAATATGGGGCAAGGATATTTAATATATCCCAAATATTATAAGGTAACAGGACAAATAGTCAAGTATTGAGGATCAAAGCAAATGCTGTTCTAACATGAAGTCAGAAAGCAGAGGCCAGCTCACTTACCTAGCTGTAAGATTCGTTTAGAAAGATGATCTAAAAGGCTGATGGAAACAGCAGAGTCTAATCTTCGAGTGTTCCAGACAATCACATGTGCATGAGTGCCTCAACTCCATTTATTTCCATCTTCTCTAGCAACTACTGAAAAATTGGCTATTCAGGAGCAGACTGCTCTATCTTTGCTGATTATAAAGCAGGAAAATTGTTATGAGCCTGCCTTTTCATCATTGTAGTTGAAAATACAAAGTTTTTAAATGGTAATATGTTATAATAAAAAAATCTAAAAAGCAAAAAAGCAAGAGACTTGAAGGAAACGTGTTGTGTGCAATTGTTCAGTTTTTCTTGTATGATGTCAAAAAGAAAGTGTGTATCTGGACAAACAGATAACAAACGGACTAGGAAAAGTTTACGAAACTGATACCTTTTGACAGCATGTACAAAAAATAGTCCTTTCTCTTAATAATTGTATGATACTCTTCGCAAAATCTGGTAACAACTTTGAAGTAAGGTAGTTTTATTTTTCTGGGATAAGGCAACCTAATTCAGCTGTTGTCGGTTGGTAGTAAAGGAAGGGTCTGCTCAATTGTTTTATGCTAAGTGTTTTAATGTGATAATGACCAAAATATTCTAACGATCTAGCTCCTCTAGTTTTATGTTTAATTTCACTTGGCTTGAATTTTCATAAAAGATGAACACGATCTGTTTCTCAGCAGAATTTAAAGAATATGCTTTTGTTCTTCATCTGGAGCTCTAACTTTATAAATTGCTACAAACAAGATTGGCTAATAGGGTGTGAACGTAGAAATTGGAAGAGAAATCAGAATCTCCCAGGGTATTAAGCAGAAAAATGAACAAGGTGATGTAGCTCAGTTTAGCAAACTAATTAGGACATTTTTAGGTGCTGTACAGTCAAAAATCAAAATTTCACTAAAATGTTAGGCAAGTCTGGGATATGAGTGCAAACTTTTAAATTGTTAAATTCTAGCTAACATGCAGTATAACTAGTTTCAGGGTATGATATAGTGATTCAACACTTCTCTATAACACCCAGTGCTCACTGCATAGTGCTCCTTAATCCTCATCACTTGTTTAGCCCATCCTCCCCCCAACCTCCCCTCTGGTAACCATCAGTTCTCTACAGTTAAGAGTCTGTTTCGCAGTTTGCCTCTTTTCTTTTCCCCCTTTGATCATTTGTTTCTTAAACTCCACATAGGAATGAGATCATATGGTACTTGTCCTTCTCTGACGAACTTACTTCATTTACCATAACACTCTCTAGCTCCATCACGTTGTTGCAAATGGCAAGATTTCATTCTTTTTTTATGGTAATATCCCATTGTGTGTGTGTGTGTGTGTGTGTGTGTATATACACACCACATCTTCTTTATCCATTCATCAGTTGATGGAAACTTGGGCTGTTTCCACAATTTGGCTATTGTAGATAATGCTGCTATAAACAGAGGCGCATGTGCCTCTTGGAATCAGTATTTTTGTATCTTTTGGGTAAATATCTAGTAGTGCAATTGCTGGATCATAGGGTAGTTCTATTTTTAAACTTTTGAGGAACCTCCATACTGTTTGCCAGGGTGGCTGTATCAGTTTACATTCCAACCAACAGTGCAAGAAGGTTTCCCTTTCTCCACATCCTCACCCATGCCTGTTGTTTCTTGTGTTGTTTGATTTTAGCTATTTTGACAGGTGTGTGCTGGTGTCTTCTTTTAGTTTTGTTATGTATTTCCCTGATGTTCAGTGATGTTGAACATCTTTTCATATGTCTGTTGGCCATCTGTATATTGTCTTTGGAAAAATGTCTTTTCATGTCTTCTACCCATTTTTTTTTAAGATTTTATTTATTTATTCATGACAGACACACAAAGAGGGAGGGAGAGAGGCAGAGACACAGGCAGAGGGAGAAGCAGGCCCCATGCAGGGAGCCCAACATGGGACTGGATCCCAGGTCCCCAGGATCTGGCCCTGGCCTGAAGGCGGCGCTAAACCGCTGAGCCACCTGGCTCATTCTACCCATTTTTCTACCCATTTTTAACTGGATTATTTTTTAGGTGATGAGTTTCGTAAGTTCCTTATATATTTTGGATACTAAGTCTTTATCAGATATATCATTTAAGGTTTGCCTAACTTTTAAGAAGCCACTGCAAGTATAAAAGCTGCTATTGAGAAAAGAGACATTTTCTAGCTGGTAAAGAAAACCAGGCCAGTTTAAATCCTAGTTTAAAACATTTAACAAAATATCAGAGCACAGACCAGATCCACCTGCAACAGAGCCACACAGCCTAAACTGGGCTCTCCTCCCTTATTTGATACCTAAGTACATGCCTCACAATGGTTTATGGGAAAAAACCGGTAGGCTCAGATGTAGTGAAAAGGATACAGTAATAAAAGAAGGAAGGTCTAGCTGGAAATACCTATGTTAAGCACAAGGTAAAATAAATGATCTGGCAATATTTATGCAAATTACATTAAAAGGATAGAAGGAAAGCTAGGGAGGGAATATAGGGGCAAGGGAATGGAGACTCAGGGGGATTAACATTTAAAGAAAAATGAACCTAAGACTGAACAGATTAGTGGGAGTGGGGAGGGCAACTGGAAGATGTGCAAGTTCTAATTTCTTTAGCTTTTAAAGTTTGGAAGTAAATTGATAGTGTCTAAAAATTTTTGTAATTAAAAATGACCCCATTTTAAGAAAATCTTACTGTAAAGAAACATTAGTGACTATTCATTTTCAGTTGCATTTCTTTCTTGTTAAAAGTAAATTTTTACAATTAAGAGAGAAGGTATGTGATCCATGTTTATAAAAGTACTTCTATCTACTGATTCCTATATACATATGCGTGTACATATGTGAAGTTAAATTCACAAAAGATTTACCCTCACTGTGTGAGATGGACTCTGATATCTCTCTACCATATTTTTTTCTTCATTTTAAGAAGCTGTTAATATGTTACAACCTAAGGTTTAAAACCACTGCACTACACTTTGTTAACAAAAGGATTTATGAAGGGATCCCTGGGTGGCACAGCGGATTGGCGCCTGCCTTTGGCCCAGGGCGTGATCCTGGAGACCCGGGATCGAGTCCCACATCGGGCTCCTGGTGCATGGAGCCTGCTTCTCCCTCTGCCTATGTCTCTGCCTCTCTCCCTCTCTCTGTGACTATCATAAATAAAAATTAAAAAAAAAAGGATTTATGAATATAGGCAATAAAGTTTTGCAACTGCCTCAATTTGCTTTTAAATTAGCATAACAAGGAAACAGTAACTTTTTTTTTTGTCTTTACAATGAAAGCATCAGGAAAAGTCTGCCAAGTGATGGCATTTCAGTAACAAAGGAAAGAGCACATCTAAGTACATAAATTGTTAAAATACTGTGCAGTGCTAGGCAGAGGGTTAAATTTTCTTACCTCTGAATCACAGTAGATGGGAGGTGAGTTTATGGAACAGCACTTGGAGGCAAAGTCTGAGCGCTTGTCAATCAACCCTTGGAGGTCCGTTGCACTGGCATCAGGGAATTGTGCTTTTAATCCCTCTGCTAGTCTGAAAGACCATATTTTTGTACGGTTTTACTAGTTGTATTTTATAAACCTTTCTAATGTAAAATGATAACCCACTCCAGGTCTTTTAAAATTCAAAACAATTGAAGTAGTTGCTCTTAAATTTCAGATCTGTGGAGTAATTATTTAGCAATTTAATTTGCTCCTGGATTTGACTTCCAGGCCTTCCCCTTTCATTTGTTCAATTATATTAACATGGACGATTTCCTCTCCTGTTCTTCCTGACTTTCATCTTCTCTGCAGTACTAGATTTCAAGCTCCTTAAAGAGTATTTCCTTCATGGGATTTTATGCCACCTTAATACTCTTTCTTTTCTCTTATTTTATACAATTTCCCCCTTGGGTGCCTGCTTCTTGACTGGCTAGATTGGAAAACACAGAGAGGGTCAGACACTTTGGCTCTTGTTTTTAGCCCTACTATCAATTAAGTCTCCATCTAACTTTCAAGATGGTGCTAGGATTTGAGTTTTCTGGATTCTCTCCCAGTTTGAGTGGTCTATATGATTTTGGTATCTCTCTACTCTTAAAATCAGCAGCTCAACCTAGTTTTAACATGATCTTCTCCAGAAACTGTTTGCCAGCCTTGTTTTGGGCAGACATGGTAGAAATCCAAATTTATCTGGGTGGGATAAGGTGGATGCTGGGAAAGGACAAGAGGATGAGGGAGACTAGTTTGCTCATAAAAGCATTATTGAAAGGAGTCAGTCCCAGTTGGAAGGGCAGGCAAGTCTGCCCAGAAGGAACTCAGGTGATGGAGAAAGAAAAAATGTGTGTGCATTTGCGTACACTCGTGCAGAATTTCAAATATCTGGATGCAGTGGTCTTAATCTTTGATGTCATAGCCCTGAATGTCAATTCTACTCCATTGCTATTTTTAATGTATTGAGATTATATAAATTATCAGTCAGTTGCCCCATGCAACACTGGAGTACAAAACTTGGATTATCTGTTTAATGTTCTGTACTGTTTTCTGATAATTTGGAACTAAACATTTTGAACTTACAGCTTTTACAATTTTTCATTTTCTTATAGAGTTTTGCTAAGGTAGTTTTCATGGGGGTCATTGAAGGAAGCATCTGATTTTGGGGATTCTTAGGTCTTTTTGTGGAGTCCTATTTGTTCTTGCTTTAGTCCTATGTTGACAAGATGATTTGAAATGGATCTAAGAAATCACTTTAATGAATTTGGGAATGCCGTGGGTAAAATTTCTTTCATTATCATGGCCTTTCTTGTCTTACTTAAGAAACATGGCAGTTGACTGTTGTACAACAGTGTTGGTGATTTTCAAGTTTTAGAGAATGCATGCTGGTCATGAGTGGTACTACCACTTGATTGACAGTTTGGGTTGTCTTGTCAGACACAATATACCATGAAGTTAGATAACCTTTTTTTTTTTTTTTTTTTTTTTTTTTAGCAGTTTTCTAGTTCCTCAATTATGTGTAGTGACATCTACATGTAGCTTTAGGGCAAGAATGTTGATGAACTATGGGCTAATTTGGTGTGTTTTGAATCAAGCAGATCTTGTAATTTATACTTCTGTGGCTATGTTCTAATTGATCTCTCACCTGATACACATGACTTTTTTCCCCACTGTGAAAAGAACTCCATTTCTTCCTACATAGATTCTACTTTTTAAAACTCTTAATTGCACCTCTTTTTTCTATTGCTCACTTAGCACACCTTAAATCTTCAATTATACGTTCAAATTACCATACCAAACTGCAATTATTGATAAATGTGAAGGAAACAGCCAGAAAAATCTTACTTTTTCTTAAACTCAGTAAAAGTGTTTTCTGAATAATCTGCACATAGTTTTTGTCCCTTGTCAATGAAAGAAGATAATTCCTTTTTCAGTTGAGGTCCCTGTAAGAAAACAATTGCATACAAAATTATTTGTCTTGAAGCATTGTTCTAGAAGACATTGAATTAGAATTCCATTTAATGTCTTAGTATGTGTGTGTTTTTATCTATGCCAGACATTGGCAAGTATTTTCTATGTAAGACCAGATAGTAAATATTTTAGATTTTGTAAACCATATATAGTCTCTTCTGTAATTATTCAACTTTGCCAATATGACACAAAAGCAGCTATTAGCAATGTGTAAACAAGGAGGAAGGCTGTGTTCTAGTGACTTTATGAACACTGAATTTTTAGTTTCACATTTTTTGTGCCCTAAAATTAAAAACAAATATTTTTAAAATATAAGACCATTCTTAGCTCATAGGCCATACAAACACAGGCACTGGATCAGATTTGGCCCATGAGCTACAGTTTTCCAACCCTTTTCCAATCTCTACCAAGACTGAGAAAATGTAGTAAGTGTACCTGAGCATTCATACAGCCAGTAGAATCTTCAGAGTCGCAGCATTCTGCAAGGCTTTTCAGGGTTGGCTCAAGTATTTTACTGAGGAATACTTCTGGAAGATGAGTTCTCCTACTTAATTCAAATGTATACCTGGCACCAGGGGAAAAGGAGAGAATACTCTTTAACATGAGTAGATTTGTGTTTGTGTGTCATACTAGAAATTTGACGTCTATTTTAAAGGTTGACCACCTGGCTTCTGCATCTTAATGAAAAATAAATGATTTAGGGATGACTTGGATGGCTCAGTGGTTGAGCATCTTCCTTTGGCTCAGGGCATGATCCCAGGTTCGAGTCCCACATCAGGCTCCCCACAGGGAACCAGCTTCTCCCTCTGCCTATAGTCTCTGCCTCTCTCTCATGAGATAAATAAAATAAATAAAATAAAATAATAAATAAAATAAAATAATAAATAAAATCATGAATAAATAAAATCTTTTTAAAAAATAAAAAATAAAAGATTTAGGTAAAACTGACTCCAAATCAACAGGTTTTGGATTAATATTCTCAATGAAATGCAAATTATTAGTAGTAGCTTTGGAGCTATTCTGACTAGTTAATACTGTATTAAAGCTCTGTGTGTACTATCTATACACATATGTATATATTCTATATAAACATATCTATTTCAAATGCATATGGAACTAACTTTTATGTAACTATAATACAATGAACCCTACATAAAGCTTCAAGTAGGCACCTCAAGTGGCTTTTCTGTGTAAGTAGATCTGTAAATCCTTCCATTATCTTATTCCATTGCTCTCTATGCATTTATAAAAATATTCAGTCAACTATAAATCAGTCTGAAGTTAATCTAAATTATTCTAATATTGGTAATTTTCTGACCTGTTAATCCAACTTATTTGTGAAATATTTCTATGCCCTGAATATACTCAGACCTTATGCAGCTCATGGCATAAACAACATGGTTTATTTTCAGTTCTTAGTTGGATGAAAACAGATAAAGGTTTACCATTTCTTCTCATTTAATTTCTTTGTCATCTAATGCTAGTGAATGTCAATACTGTCAAGAAAAAAATTTACTCTGGTCAACTCTACTTACTGATCTTTGGCTTTGGTGTTTCCTTTATCACATACATCTGCATTTGCAGGCAACTCAATGGCTGGCAGCTCAGGTGTTGGAGCAGCTGGCATGAAGTAAGCGCACACAAAAATGTCCATGGGCGTTTTTTCTTGACAACAGTCCTTGAACTTAGAATTCTTTGTGGATAAGTTATCACAGATTTTTACTGTGTATTCAGGTAGCTATAAAAGCAATTGTGAGTTTGTGCATTGTTAGTTTCCTGGTTGGCCTAATTAAAAATAAGAAAAGCTTAGGTAGGCTTATAAGCCCTGGCATGGTATATATGAAAGGTTATAAGTAAGGTTCTTGAAAAACACCTATCAACACAGACATGTTTTCTTAGTGGAAAAAGACCAAGCAATATGGCATATCTGTTTCTAAAGAGATCTACAGACTTGGAGTAACCTTTATTAAAGCAACTATTCAAATTCATATCCACTTAAAAGGATTGTGTAATTGAAAAAATGGTGAAGAAAATGATCAAGCATCACAGGTATAAACATGAACAGCTTCCAATCTTCCAATAATATATTGGTTGCAATATTGTTCAATAGAACTTTGTGATGAAATGATCTGTATCTATACTGTTCAATACTATTGAGCGTTTGAAATGTGGCTAGTGGTGTGCCTGGCTGGCTCAGTTGGTAGATCATGTGGCTCTTGATCTCAGGGTTGTGAATTCTAGCTCCATGTTGGGTATAGAGATTACTAAATAAATTTAATATTTTTTAAATGTGGCTACTGTTACCAAGGAATCGAAGTTTATCAAGTTTAAGAAGTTAAATAAATTTAATTATGATTAACCTGTATTGGGCTGTGCAGGTAAAATAAGGTCAGGGAGTTAGATAATCTTGTCCTCATGTGTGGACTTGGCCATTTAATAGTTGTAAGACTTCAAATTATTCATCCTTGTTAATCTTGTTTCCTTATTAATGGAGTTAACAATACACTTAAATTTCACGATGATTCACTGAGATGATGTATGAAAAAGCAACACAGATCCCATAGCAACATGGGATTCTTAGTGCATGGCACATGATGAGGATTCTCTTACCTCCTTGGCCATGCAGTCCTCAGAGGTAGACTCACAGCACTTGGAGAGAACTGTGTTGATCTCTTCAGCTAGTGGCAAAACATCCTCCAGCTCAGCAGTTGGCACTTTCTGTGCTAATTTTATGAGATGGCTAAGTAGTTAAAAATGAATTGTTAGGTGGCTAATACTGTTTTTTGGGTTTTATTATGAACATACAGTCTGGAAGAATAATACCGTAATTTCAACTCTGTCCTCAATAGCTGCATGGAACACATCTGCTATGTGATGGATCCTATGTGCTAGAGCCACTATTCAAAATTCAATCATCCCCAAGGAATCATTTCCTATTTTTTGTACTGATGTGTAGCTCTTTTTTTTTTTTTTTATGCAAGACCTACCTACTTGAAATATGCCTTTAAAATGCTAGATCTAGGGCGATCCCTGGATGGCTCAGCAGTTTAGTGCCTGCCTTTGGCCCAGGGGGTGGTTCTGGACTTCCCGGGTCGAGTCTCACATCAGGCTCCCTTGATGGAGCCTGCTTCTCTCTGCCTATGTCTCTGCCTCTGTCTCTTTCTCTGTGTCTCTCATGAATAAATAAATAAAATCTTTAAAAAAATTTAGGTCCTGGGATCCCTGGGTGGCGCAGCGGTTTGGCGCCTGCCTTTGGCCCAGGGCGCGATTCTGGAGACCCCGGATCGAATCCCACGTCGGGCTCCCGGTGCCTGGAGCCTGCTTCTCCCTCTGCCTGTGTCTCTGCCTCTCTCTCTCTCTCTGTGTGTGTGACTATCATAAAATAAATAAAAATTAAAAAAAAAAATTAGGTCTAAAAGAGAAATAAAGTACTAACATCCCTATTCATAAGGCCAATATCCTTTTTTTTTTGTGGCCTTTCACTGTACTTTTAAAAATGGTTTATGGGACACCTGGGTGGCTCAGTGGTTGAGCATCTGCCTTCGGCCTAGGGCGTGATCCTGGATGTCTCGGGATTGAGTCCTGCATCAGGCTCCCTGCATGGAGCCTGCTTCTCCCTCTGCCTGTGTCTCTCATGAATAAATAATTTTTTTAAAAAAAATGGTTTATAAATTCATTTAGAAACTAAAGATAAAACAAAAAGGAATAAGACCTATGACCCTAGATCACAGAATAATAAATGTTGGTATTTTGGTGTATAACCTTGAAGAATTTTCTAAGGTTTATCAAGTATTAAGTATTTCATAAGGGATTATGTATACTCTGCTATACTATTTATACATTTGTCTTTTTCACTTAATATATCAGGGATATTTTCTATATTAAGTATTATTTTTAAATTGTGACAAAAAATTTACTTTGCCATCTTACCTTTTAAAGTATGTAGCTTGCTAATGTTAATTTTTACTATAAATAGGTATCTGTAAATATAACAGATTTCTGGAATCTTTCCATCTTGCTAAACTGAAACTGTATATCCATTAAATACTGACAGCACCCACCTCAGTCTTTTGGCAACCACCTTTTTACTACTTTAGATATTACACCTAAGGGGAATCATATGGTATTTGTCCTCCTGGTACTGCTTATTTTGCTTAGCATAATGTCTTAGCATTCATCCATGTTGTAGCAAGTGACAGGCTGTTTTCAAGGTTGCATATTATTCCAATGTATGTATATACCGCATTCGCTTTATTTATTGGTAGACATTTGAGTTTCTTCTATCTCTTGGCTATTGGAAATAATGCTGCAATGAGCATGCGTCTGAAAATATCTTTGAGATTCTACTTCAAATGCAAAGGTGGGATTCTATTTTTAAATTTTTGAGGAACCTCCATACTGGCTGCACCATTTTGCATTCCCATTAATAGTGCACGAGAACTTCAATTTCTCCACATTCTTGCCAACATTCATTTTCTGTTTTGGTAGTAGCCATCTTAATGAGTGTGAGGTGACATCTCATTGTGGTTTTGACTTGCCTTTATTTTATGATTACTAATGGTGAACATCTTTCTATATGCTTATCGGCCATTTATATATCTCTAAGAGAATTGTTTAAACAACTTGACTGAAAAAAATTGAATACTTTCTTATTGAGTTATGGAAGTTCCTTATATTCTGGACATTAAACCCTTATTAGATATACTTGTAAATATTTTCTCATTCTGTAGGTTGTCTTTTTACACACAGAAGTTTGTTTGTAGTTCCATTTGTCTATTTTTGCTTTTGTTGTGTAGGTCATTTCTAAGAAATCATCACCAAATATAATGTTCTGAAGCTTTCCCTTTCGTCTAAGAGTTTTATAGTCTTAGGCCTTATGTTTCGATTTAATCCATTTTGAATTTTAGTATATGTCTAAGGTAAGGGTTCAATTTCCTTCTTTAGCATGTGGATATCCAATTTTCCCAGCACCATTTGTTGAAGAGACCATCCTTTTTCCAGTGTGTAGCCCAGCACCCCCATTGAAATTCATTTGGCCAAATATGTAAGAGTGTATTTCTGAGCTCTCTGTTCCATTAATCTCTCTCTATTTTTTTAATGCCAGTACCATAGCATCTTACTACTGCCACGTAGTATGTTTTGAAATCCTAAAATGTGAGGCCTCCAACTTCTTTTCCAAGATTGTTAAGGCTACATAGAGTCCCTTGACATTCTATATGAATTTTAGGATGCTTTTGTTTTTAATATTGCTGCAAGAAATGCCATTGTGATATCGATAGAGATTGCACTAGATCTGTAGTTTGCTTTGAATAGTATGAACATTTTAACGATATTATTCCATTCAAAGAGCACAGAGTGTCTTTACATTTACTTGTATCTTCTTTAGTTTCTTTTACCAATATTTTATATTTTTCATTATACATCTTTTTACAATAGAATTATAACAAACCATATGGCATTCTCATATAGATATACTGTAATATGAGTGTTCTCCATCGTAGGGAAATTTCAGAAGACTTTAATTTTTTCATATTTAAAAAGAAATGGTGCAGCAATATATTAGCTAAATCTTTGTTCACATTCAATGCTACTTACCTGAGATAAATTCCCACACTAATGCAAGTATAAATTAATGATTAAATTAGTTATATATTTTATAGGTGGTTTTATATTACAAATCCTTACGTTCTACTTGCCAAATACACTATCTTAATGCAAAAGGAAAACTAAAGGGAAGGTCTAAAGAAAATGCTATTTTAGTGTTTGAGTTTATCTATTGGAAGATATTTTTAAAGGACTCATGAAAGTAGTTCCTCTTAACATTAGAGAACCTTAGGATCTGATGCCAGCACAAAATAGATTTGTTTGTTTGTCTTTTCATTGCCATTAGAGGAAAAAAAGCTTGCAGATCAAAGTAAGAAGAATTAGAGACTGTAGAGACTGAAAAGATAAATCTGCAAACCCCAGAAGTCTGAGATAAGTGTTAACATAGAAACTGTCAAAATTAAAATATGGTGTTAACTGTAGCCCACAAAAATCACAGTGAAGGTTACAAATAAAGTAAGTAATTAGAATACATTCACTAAGCTTAAGAGATACACATCATATACAGAACAAAGCTTCATGTAACAAGAATTCAGGAAATCTGATCTCAAGGAAAAATAGGCAAAGGAAATAACAGATGAACAAAAAAGTGATTTTTAAATAAATACTGAAGAAAACAATTTCTGTTGATATACCAGTTTTCCCATGAATATGTGGAAAAGGTTGATTAAAAACAAATCTCATGTTTTACAACATAGCCGTGTTCTTTATCCATATTTAATGTAGATAAAAGAACTGGACTGTATTTTTGAGAATTATAGGAGTATAAGACAATAGTGTATATATTCTATTAAAAATATTTCCTTAGAGAATCCTAATATTATGGATAGTGTAGAAGAAAACAGCTAAACATACTGATGGTGCTTGATCTTTACCTGAGTCTTGATTTCTCCTTCCCATAAGCAGCATATTGTGAACAAATTCTATTTGACATAGTGGTGAGAAGTGATAAGTGTTTCATCTGGAGTCTCTAGGAGATAAGTGAGAGAATCTTATTATTAGATGGCCAAGCAGTGTTCAGGAATGGCAACAAGAAATTATTTTTTATTACTACAAAACTGAATTCTGACAAAAGAAACTTACTAATATTCCTTTCCTAGAGGTGGTTAGGTTTATTTTTCCAATGGATGAAATGTAAAGGAGGCATTTTAGAAAGTTTTACTGATTCCAGAATCTGAACTTCCTTATTTAAATTGAATGGCGTTAGGAGAAGAAAAAAAAATAGAATATAACTGCATAATAAAGTGATACCTACCTCTTTCAAAAAGCAAGCTGTTGGCCTTGATGAAGTACAGCAGGACCCTACCATAGAGAGATAACTCTTGGTATAACCGACTAAGAGTGATAGAGGGGCTTGTCCATAATTAATGGAATATTCATACATAAATCTGTTGGGAGGGAAAACAGGATTGGTCAAAACATTTGTGGGAAGCAGAATCTAGTTTTTTTATAAGCACATTGATGAAAAAAGGATGCATTATGTTAGTTATATAAAAGGTGCTCAGGATTTAAAGAATCGGCAAAATACTAGTCACTTTTAATCAGTATTTTCATTCAAGTAATGTCTTAAATTTCCATACGGATTAATTGAGAGGAGGGGCTATTTGTCTCTTTACTGGCTCATGGTAATTGCTTATCAGTGTTGATTGAACAAGTTAAAATAAAACACATTTACGTTTCATTATCTATCCCATTTTACTATTCTTGACAATTGCTACATATACACTTGCTTATTTGCTGAAATTTTTAATTTTTAGGAGCATAAGCCCTTAAGGGTCTATAGGAGACTCTGAAATCTTGGGCAAAAGCTTCTCTGAAAATTTCCAGGGATGAGAAAGCCAATGAATTTTTATAAAATCATGACCTTAACTTCAAACTTCCAAAGCCAATTTGAGTGACATTGAATTTGACTTTTGTATATGTATTTGTCATTATCATAAATAGAATTGTATTGCTGTGCACATTTTAAATGCTTAGTGTTCACCAAAGCTTAAGTTTTTTTATTCCTACATCCCTAGAAACAGTTGTCAACGTGGCCTATTATACCACATAAGTGAGCATGTAATTTTGACCATCTCATTGTTTAACATTCATGAGGAGCCAGATTATATATTCTTATATTAGTCTTGAAAGATCACAAAAACTAACAAAAATGGGGAAAAAATCTATCTGATGCAGTATGCATAAGGGATCCCTAGCATAAGGGGAATCACAATAGCTGTCAAATATTTGAAAATGTCACATAGACAGGGAATCTAAGTGATTCTGTTTCAGACAATAGAACTAAGTTTGGGACTTTTAGAAAGTTGACTTCATTTCTATCTGAGAAAGGTATTTACAATAACCAGCACTGGCTGAGATGAGAAATCTTAGGTAAGAGTCAAGTTCTTATTGAAAATTGTCCAGGTTGCTGTAGAAGAGGTGTTTGTATAGAGTAGGGCATTAGATTCAACACACTTCTGATATTTTTTGCCTTGAAGTTTTACTTAGGATACGAGCAGCTTACTTCTCAGCAAAGTCTTTGGGATCTTTCCTGAATGCCTCACATATTTCATCATTTGTTGGCTCTACATAGGTAGGAAATTCTTGTGGCTGGTGCTTCAGGGCAGCCATACAGAGTTTCCGTTCAAGGCCCTCTCTGGTACAGCACTCAGCAGTTCCTGGGTGTACTGGGAATGGAGAGTCCTTTTCACAGGACCTAGCAGACAATGCTGAGGTCTAGAATAAGAGAAGAAAAACAAGTCAACTCCTATATGGAAGTTTCCAGGCTTATAGTTCTCTATTCAATATGATATCTTAGTCTTAAATTTTAAAATTCTCATTAGTAATGAACCGTCCATGCCAAAAGCTCCATCAGATGACTTATCAATATGACAATTTGTATAGTTATAGGCAAGTGCAAGGTCTTATGTTAATAAATGACTCAGACAAAAACAGAGCCTTCATTAACAAGTGTGGACTGTGTTTGTAGCCATTGGAGTTTTTATCCTTCTCCATGTTTCTCTAGGGAGATATTAAGTGAGGTCATTTGAAAAAGCTCCACTGCTAATTCTGATATCCACCTGCTTTCTGCTGCAAATAACCCAGGGAGAAGGAGCATCTCCTTTTATTAAATGAGCAGACTTCATTCTCGACAGCTTTAGTCTTCTACATCTGTTTGTATTCTTTTACCCAGTCATTCTGCAGTCTGCTTTTGCATCAGAATCAGAGTATATGAAATGTGGTGCCTGGGCTGTACAATGCAGAAATTCTGATTCATTAAGTCAAAGGGGAGGCCCAAGGATCTGTTTCCCAAAACCTTGGTATTTATCCTGATGTGCAGCATAGGTTGAAAACCACTGGGGCAACTGAATGTACTGCCTCCACACTGGCACACGGATAACACTTGGGCCGACTAAGCCCATGGTAAGGGCACCACCAAAGCAACTGCAGCAGCAAAATGTTATTATTGGAAAAGATCTGATATTTGGAATAAATGTAGAATTGAAATCCTTCCCATATAAAAACCTATCTTGGGATATACTTGGGGAAAAGTGCCTTGATATCCTTATACTTATAAGTTTGTCATCTTCTAAAAACACAACTTCCACGGATCTTTCTTATAAATGAAGGAAAGCGACATGATGAAATAGTTATGTAAACCAAAAGTAAACCTCTCCTTCTCTCCTACACCTACTTTCCATCAGACTCTCCGAACTTTAGGAATTCTTAGGAACTCTTTTTATCCTTATCTCTTTAGTCAGTGAATTCCTTTTCCATTTCTTTCCCTGGCAAACCTGTTTTTTTTTCTTTATTACTGTCTTTCCAAAAAAAAAAGTTTGAAAAGATTCAACATATTTTTAAAAATGCTTTGAACAAACAGGAGAAAGAGGAAGGTGCTTTGAAAAAAAGTGCCATCTCTGTTTTGTTATCATCTGTCTCTACTAATGTGGAGCTTATCTCTGGTCAAGGGATCAGGGACACCAGGGTGGCTCAGTGGTTGAGCATCTTTTTGGCTCAGGTCATGATCTTAGGGTCCTGGAATTGAGTCCTGCATCAGGTTCCCCACAGGGAGCCCGCTTCTCCCATTGCCTGTGTCTCTGCCTCTCTGTGTCTTTCATGAATAAATAAATAAAATCTTTTTTTAAAGGGATCACTTAGCAAATACATGAAATATAAATAAAAATGTATTAGTGATCATGATTGGGAGTTTATTTTAAGGTAGGGCAGAAGGTCAAGTTGAAATAAATTTTGGGTTTTATGGAACTGGTGGTGGAAGAAAATGATTAAAATTCTTTAGAAGATACCTAAGGGCCAGATAAAACAATTAATGGGTAAGAATCATCATTGTGTAGAATATATTCTAATCAGGTCTTTGAAGCATGGTTTCTAGAGGCTTGAGCAAGAAGATAGTTGTCTGTGGAGGTCTTTATCAAGATGCATCTAAATGTACTTTGCATGAGGCCTCATGACTGCATTAGGAAATTGCTAGAAATACCTGTGGTTTCACCTTTTCCAGCTCCTGTTTACTTTTTGAAACCCTGTCACTTCAGCATTTTAACTTCTGCTTTTATACTTCAAGGGAGAACCTAGGGTGTGTGTGTGTGTGTGTGTGTGTGTGTGTGTGTGAGAGAGAGAGAGAGAGAGAGAGAGAGAGAGAGAGAGAAAGAGCATGTATAGCAACTTTTGAACCTCTCTGAGGCCAACACTAAATTATTCTGGGGCAGTTGGTATCAGTCTTAACATGATAAATGTATGGTTATGGGTAGACTTTTAAGACACACAGAATATATTATTACAAGAGGTTCATGAATTAATATGTCCGAGTTTTCTCATTTGAACCTTGTAGGACTGATTGGCAAAACTAATTAATTTTACTAGAATAAGCCTGGGATCTGGGAGGAACAGGTTTTCTAAGTATCCCAAAGTTGAAGTAGATGGAGTTGCAGTCTAAGATTTCTCCAAGATGGGTCATAATGGGTCTTTCTTGGCTTCTTCTCTGGGCCACCATGGGCATGGGCAAGCACATAAACCTACCCTGTGGTCATAGCAGTCCGGGTCAGCCCCTTCAGCACAGCAAGTTTCTGTCAAGGAGACAACTTCGTTCACGAGGTGACTGATCTGTTCAAATGTGCTACTGGGAAACTTTCTGCTATATAAGACCATTGATCTGAGGAAAATAAGTCAATATATTTAGAATTTTAAAAAATTTCACATTTGTACTTATTTAAACATGAAATACTTGTTCAGTGTTTAACAAGCATATTGTATACCTTCTTTAATGAAAAGAACATGAGTTTGACTTTTAAAACTTGGGTCTTTTTCCAGACAAACTTCCCTTGTAAAATGGAAGTTGGATTTGGGGGTTTTATCTGAGCAGCCTCCTGTTCTTTCCTCTCTCTGAGCCTCCCCCATAGACCTGTTCTGTATCTTCTTATCTTTTTTTTGCCATGGTCCTTCTATATACTCTTTGCATTCTAATTTACACTAGAAAACTATGCTTATTCCCTTAACTCTATTAATAAACTTACTGCTAACGAATTCTCAGACCCTAGTAACAATAATCAACTGGAATCTTTGGATGTCCTCCACTGGCCTGACATCTGTGGCCACGTTGGGTTCTATCTTTTTAAAATGTTCAGAGAATGGTTCAGCGTGCTGAATTGAAGTTCCCTCACACATGGTTTCATTCACATTTCACTCAAGAGAGTCAGGGAATACCTCATACTTACAAAGATGTGAAGTCATCTTTTCCCAGATTGGCAAGTTCCTTGCAAACTTTTTCCTTCTCATAATCTCGGCCTATGAACCAGAAATAGAAAAATCTATATCTTTTCCTGTTTAATGAATGTTGCATTATGTGTACATCTTCTACATGATTCACCCAAGGTGAAAGTAGCATTTTTCTCTATATACAATTTCATTTTGGGGGGGCCTTTCTAGCTGTTTTCTTACAGATCAATTTTGTGGTCTGCTATAAATTTATAATGGACAGCAGAACAAATGCACTAATACTGAATGAAAGCAGTTAAGTCAAATGATATCAGAACCTATTGATAATGACAAGCATTCTCTTAGGTCCCTTCTTTACAATAATGCTAAAATGGAACTTTTTATTCTTTCTTTTTTTTTCTTTTTATTCTTTCTTTGTCTTCATTTCACCAAAGGCATTGAAAAGAACAAAAATAAATAAATAAATGGAGAGTTTGTCTACATATGTACATAGTGGAGAGCTAGTCCCACTAATGTAGGACGTTAAAGGAGGTATGTGAGCTGGTATTGCTCCATTACCCATCTCCAAATTCTATCAAGGAATGCGAGGAATTCAGCTGAGGGGAAAAATCGAAATTTGACCACTTTCTCCAAGAAGTAATTTGCCTGTGCAGTGGGTTTGGAGAAATGAGTGGAGAGTGCTTCCCTTCATTGCAGGCATGGTGCAGGGCTTAAGGGAAAACATTCAGGCCTTAATAGATGACTTCTGGAGTTTGGGGTACAATGACAAGTGTCTGATTCAGACTAGAGAATATTAGAGGGTGAGAAGGGCTGGTGGAGTGGCCTGGGGGCAACAAAGGGTGAGGAATTTGAGTGAGAAGCTGTGCTGTGGCCTACGGACCTGATGTAGATCAAGCAGGAGAGCAAGACAGCCAGGAGTTGTCTTAATTTTGGGAGTGGGGGTAGGCACTAGAGAGCAGTGGGCTGCCAGTAGTGGACACCTCTGTGCAGAGGAGACAGCTTAAAATCTTAAGGTGTTGGTTGAATGTAAGAGATTCCAGAAATTATGCTGCCTACCTCTCCTGCTAGCTTCTCCCTTGCCTGTGGTAACCTTGGAAGAGGTAAAAGCAGTCTAGAGAAGGGGAGAAGGGAGGAGAGAATAGGCAGAGAAGAAAAGTGTACATGTCTCTTATTGCCACCATAGGCAACAGGACTGATATGGGGGGAGTAGCTTCAACTTCAAAGGAACTTACACATGTTTGGCTACTAAACAAACCAGACATTCCCTGACTATTAGAAGGTAGTTATTTTGAAGTTCAAAAGGACAAGAGGACCTCTTTATGTGAACAGAAAAATCATCAAACCTACTCTTAGGTCCATTCAAGTGGTTGGGAAGAGCTAGTTCCCACAGGAGGAGGTAAGTTCTTTAAGACCCACCCGTTCAACATACCCATTCCATAATACAATAGGGTGGAGGTATGGAAGCAGTCCATGGTGTTATTTCCTGATTCATCATTTATACGAATAAGTCTAGGAAACATTCCAACATTTTGTGATACAGCTTTTGGAGGAAAAATGTAAGAAGTATATCAATGGTCCAGTTTCTAAGTGTGTTCAGGATTAGTAAGTGTTTTTTTCCTGGATTTTAAATATTAAGCAATCGATCTCAGGTGATAAAATGGCAACTTCTGTCATGACGTTTCCCCTCCTATGGTGCCTTTGCCTCCCCCAGTTACAGCTCTGAAAGCAGGAACATAAGGAAGCCAGGGTAGATTGTGGTCTTTGAAGGTTTGGAGTGGAGGGGATACTGCTTGGATATAAGGCTGGGAGGAAATTTTTTTTTTTAACTTTTTGAAAATGTTCTCTTTAGGATGTGTTAGATTTCTGACAAAAACTCCCTGTAGAGGAAGCTGCTGCACCTATATCTTTCAGGTAGAGTGCTCAGAGTATTTTACTGCTGTGGGAAGACTCAGAATCGAGGGACAAAGACGTTCCTAAACAGCAGTTTGTGTAAGTGAGCCCCTCATTGACACATTCCATCAGAATCCTAAAGGGTGGGAGGGACGCCTGGGGGTCTTAGCAGCTGGGCGTCTGCCCCTGGCTCAGGTCGTGATCCCGGGATGCAGGATCCAGATCCTGCGAGGAGCCTGCTTCTCCCTCTGCCTGTGTCTCTGTCTTTCTCTCTCAGTCTGTGTCTCTCGTAAATAAGGAAGTAAATAAATAAATAAATAAATAAATAAATAAATAAATAAATCTTTTTAAAAAAATCCTAAAGGGTGGGAAAGAAACTACGTTCAGATCTCACATTATCTAGGAAACCAGGATAAGACAGCAGGATTGATAAAATTAACAATGGAGTATGAAAAGCCACTTGGAATGAACCTGTTAAAGCTGAGGACCTTCACATCTAGTACATCTTCTAGAATGTATTGACTAGTTTACAAGGTCAGATACTGTCACAGTTTCAAAAGGTCAAAATAATGCCAGAAACTTCCATTAATCATTAATGGTATTCAATGAGACTGGCGATTAGGGCATGAAGGAAAGAATTAGGGGAGAGCTGTCCTCCTATAGTGAAGGATGTACCATTAGGATGTCCATAGAGTTATTTTATGTTGTTCCTAAGGTAGAGCTAAGAAAAACAGCTAGTGGTAGATCTTAGTTCAACATACGAGAACTTTATTATAGCCATGACTAATAAACAATGAACAGTTTTTTTAGGAAGTGAGTTTGTTTTGCCCTGGAAATAATCAAGTGTAATTTAAATAACCATATGTATTAAAGATTCCTGAATTTAGTACAAGATTGTATCCTTATGATCTGTAAGATCACATCCAAAGGATTACAAAATCATTCCTTTTAGAAATAGAAAGAAATTGGTGTGCCTGGATGGCTCAGTTGGCTACGTGTCTGCTTTCAGCTCAGGTCATGAACTCAGGGTCCTGGGATTGAGCCCGTGTTGGGCTTCCCACTCGATTGGGGAAACTGCTTCTCTTCCCTGTACTCCCCTATCCCCTGCTTGTATGCATGCATGCACTCTCTCAAATAAGTAGGAAAAAAAGAGTAAGAAATGATATGGAATCTCTTCTCTTTCCTGTACCGCCCCACCCCCTGCCCAAAGCTTACTGCATTTTATTTTTTTTAAAGATTTTATTATTTATTCATGAGAGACACGGAGAGAGAGAGAGAGGCATAGACACAGGCAGAGGGAGAAGCAGGCTCCATGCAGGGAACCTGATGTGGGACTTGATTGTGGGACCCCAGGATCATGCCCTGAGCCAAAGGCAGATGCTCAACTGCTGAGCTATACAGATGTCCCAGCTTACTGTTTTAAACTGCAAAAAAATAGTCCCAATAATAGCTTTTCTCTTTTAAATGCAGAGAAGCTAACTTTGTTTAACAAAGTTTCCCTATAAAAAGAAGTCATTTTTGTTACTTTGATTGCAAACGTTCAATAACATGAAGAGTGAGAGCCTATATTCAAATGGTATACTCATGATGAACATTTAAAGAAATATTTTGTTTCTAGCCTTCCAGATTCAGATCTCTCACTTCACCAAAAAAGAAGTTTCACTGTGTTACGGGAATGGGAGTATATGTGAACGTAGTATAACTGGATACCACAGATTATTCCCTGTTCAATAGCTTTAATTAAACCAACTGGTATTTGCACTAAAATGCATTAGAATCCATAGGTGTTAGGTACTGCTTTAGTTAGAATGCAAAATAACAACAGCAAAATGGTGAAACTCGATCAACTACATGACTTAAAATGGTTTGGGAATCATTTTTGCTGAAAATTCAGCCTTCGGGTTGACAGAAGCAAGGAAGGAAACTCAAAAGAGTCACTGAGAAAGTCTAGAGTTAAAATATAAGGGTAAAAATCTCTTAAAGAAATAACCTGTAGAGGAAGCTGTTGTACTATGTATCTTTCAAGTGGAATACTCAAAATATGTTTCTGATTAATTTTTTTTAACTTATTTATCTACAGAGATCTATAGATTACAAACCTAAGCAAATACATTAATTATTTTCTCATGGTCCAAAAACCAAATACTGAAGTTAATTTGCAGTGTGATTATTACAAATTGATTCCTTATTCCATGGAGTACTGCTAAATGTTTTCATACCAGTTGAACTCCCTTTGATTCATATAATTAAATCCTATCTCGAATGAATGGTAAATGAGTCTGTTCTTTAATGTTCCATGTGTTCATGAAGAAGACAATCTGAACTTTGATACAACCCCAGTAAATATTGACATAATCTCAGTGACTCTGGTGAAATCAGGTTCACATCAAGTGACCCCTCAGCACTAAATGTTTACAAACTTCATTAACAGAATTTTTGCTTTTTGCAATAGCCTGTCCCATTTCTACCTGTATTGTGAAATATTCTGGTAAGTTGTATCTAATTCAAGACTTCTGAAAACTTTATTTTCAGGAAAATTTTATTGCTTCATGTACTTCATCTCTCTCAACACAGCTAACAACATTCATACGTGCAAACAGATATGTTTTGAAGACCTGCTCTGTACCAGGTTCAGTATTAAATATTGAATGGAGAGCAAAATAGATCTATGTCTGCCCTCATGGAACGTTCAATCTAGTGGGGATGGATAATAAGATACCACCATCTTGTTGCAAACTTTGTTAAAAAGTATATTTTGAATGCTTTAACTACTGTTAGAATATTTCTCTAAAACAATTTTGATCTCCTCTAAAAGTTGTTTACATACCAGGAGTGGTGGCTGTATCCCAAATAACACTGAATTGAGTACATGCTTCTACAGAATGCTAGAAATTGCATTGTGTTACTATTTTCCTATTTTGTTCTGGATAATCCTTGGTTTTCAGTGTTTCGTTGGGCATTCAGTATTTTGTAACTTCATTTCTTTGGCATTTTCATTTCTATTATGCATCGATAGACTTATCTGTCAGAAAATGTCAGTATATTTGAGGTGTGTGTGTGTGTGTGTGTGTGTGTGTGTGTGTTTGACTTTATGGTTTGTAGTATCTATTCAAACTGGTCAGGCTAGATGTTGATATCACATTGCTGGACTGATTTAGGAAACTCCCCTAATTATTGCA